ACCCCTTTGATCAGGCCCCTGTGTCTCCTGCCTCTTCTTGGGTCTGACTGCTTATTATGGCCCCAGTCACTAATCAGTGGACTCTGTTTTCCTTTGGGCTTTTGACCTGCAGGCTGACTGCCCTGCTTGACATTGTTCCTGCTTCATCATCATGGGCTTGATGGCTGCGCTTGACTCTGGGCTGAGCCTGTCTGTTGTGTCTGCATTTTCCTTGCTCAGGTATGGTGCTGTGGAATCATTCTTTTACATTGATGTGTTTTTCCATGGAAATGTTTTGGCCTCTAATACTGTCACTTAAAAGGAGCCTGTGTGGCTAAATGGGCATGTCATGAACAGGGAAATGAAAAGGTAGTGTTGCAGGGAGTATAAGCAGTGTCCTCATTTCTTTAATTAAGGTGTTTTGCATGCGAGATGAGCTTGTTGGTAAACACATTACCTGTGCAAAGGGTGGCTCCGGGCCTGGGGCGGTCTGGAACAGTATAAAAGGCTGCCCAAGAGTAGGCTCCCACATCCACTTCTCTTGCCTTCTCCTCCTTGGTGAACAAGGTGAGCTGCAACCGCCTTTGCTTCACTCTTTCTCTTGCTCTTCACTTTGTCTTCTGGCCTCCATCGAGTCTTTGCCTCGGTGGAGCTTTTGCTGAGATCCTTGTTTCTCGTTCCTGCTCCCAGCATGTCTGTTCTCCTTGCCTCACTGGGGGGAGGGGGGAGAAAGTCTTGGGCTTTCTTTGCAGGGGAACCATGGGGCCAGGGCTCCTAATCCTGTCTTCCTCCGTGCTCTGGCTGTCCCTGCTCCCCACCCTCTGTCTCTTCTCTTGCCGAGCAGGCTGTCCGGCTGCTCCTCTCACGCTGTGTGTGCTCTGCCTGCCCTCTCTGCCAGGTGCACCTCCATCCCAGAGCCATGTCCTGCTACGACCTGTGCCGTCCCTGTGGCCCTACCCCGCTGGCCAACAGCTGCAACGAGCCCTGTGTCAGGCAGTGCCAGGACTCCCGGGTGGTGATCCAGCCCTCTCCCGTGGTGGTGACCCTGCCTGGACCCATCCTCAGCTCCTTCCCCCAGAACACCGCTGTGGGATCTTCAGCATCTGCTGCCGTGGGCAGTATCCTGAGTGAGGAGGGAGTGCCCATCAACTCTGGGGGCTTTGGCCTTGGTAGCCTTGGTGGCCGCTACTGTGGCAGAAGGTGCCTGCCCTGCTAGAGCCCCAGCCAGATGTACAGCAAGTGCCTCGACCAGGAAGCCCCAAGCCAGGTGCCGGACTGAGGATGGAGCTGCTGGCCAGGGTTTCTGGATGGGTTGAGCACCCTGGTGCCCTCCTGTAAAGGAGGGACTACCTATCATCCTGTCTGGTTACATGACCAGCACATGTCTTATCCCTGAATCTCCTGCTTTTGATTACTTTCCTTGCCTCTGTGATTTTGAATTTCACATTGACTTGGTATAGTGCTGTACTTTTAAATGGTCAGTGGAGGGCTTTTATTCAGGAATTAAAGAAAAGCAGAGTCTTGACTACTGTCTTTCAGGTGGAATGGTTTAAATGGCTACTTTCCCTTTTATAAATATATATTTTCCTTTTGTTTTGCAAAACACTACTTGACTTTTTATCATTAAACTATTGTTGCATCTAAATTTGAGTTTCATTGTAATTTTCTTCTTTTTTCTTCCCTTGGAGAGGAATGCATTTTTATACTGAAAGGTCTATGCCAAATACCCTCCTATTGGAAAATGTGAATTGAGTATTCACTACAATCAATTTTATGAAAATAATTTCATCTTTATTTGCACTCTTGTGAAGCATTGAACAGGTTTACACATATTTCACTTGCTATTTGTTTTCCTAACATTTTTTCCACATAAAAGTACAATACTGATGTTCTGGGCTGGGAGCTTTTTCTGATCATATTTCTTACTTGGTTTCTTTGAAACTCTGAGAATTAGAAAGTGTTCACAAGTTTTTCAGAAGCAATACTGGGATCTCAGTTTTTGGTTAGATTGTACGCTACCAGCCTGTGAAGCTTTAACTGTGATGTGGTTTGAGTGATCTTGACTCCAGGCTTCAAGGTTGAAATGGATGCCCAAATGTCATTGGAGTAGTAAGACTTTTTATATGATTGGATCATTAATGAATTTTTATGATGGGCTTTGATGTCCTCTCTTTCAAGCCTTAAACAAAATCCAATAAATCTTATCCCTTAGCTAATCCACACAAGAACTCTCATAATATAGAGGAAAAATTACCTAAGTGAAGAATTAGACATGGTCGTGGGGATTTCCCTTACGAACAGTTTGCATTTAATCCTGTTACCATCTAGGAATTTTCTCAAAGAAGTTAAAACAGCACATTGTGTGCAGCTGCAAGACATCAAAGAATAATGAAGTATACTCCAATTTATCTAATTTTCAATTGTATCAACTCCATCGCTCTCCCACTGGAGCCATGTGGGGTCTGGCAGGATATAGCACTGGAAAACCGTAAGAATGAGAGTTGTGCCATTTCTCATGACTCTGTACCCCATGTAGTGTTTTCTCCTTTAGAGCCCACTAAAATCTATTTGAAAATTCAAGTGTCAAAGTGCTGGGATGGAAACAGTGGAGGAACCAAAGGGAAGATACCTGACATTCAGGTTCGGTGCTAGAACCAGTTCAAGTGTACAGAGAGTAGGAGAGAAGAGGGAGGTTTAATTTTTTGTAGACATCATACACTTCTGTTCTACGTTTTCTTTACTTAAGTATTACCTGAAAAGTTACCAAATTATAGGGAGGATGAAACTGTAGTTTAGAGTTAAGCTGGGATATGTCCCCTTTTAGTCTGTGGCTTGGGGCAGCAAAAGTGAATTATGAAAGACGGTAAATCAGTAGGTACTAGACTGAGTGGAGTCTCTGCTTAAAAATTGGTTGCCATCAGTATATTTTCTAAACAAATAATTTAAAGAACTGGAATACATGCACAAGGATATGGAACTGGTGTGACTGAAGTAATTAATTATTCACTTAGATCTGTGAGGAACTGCTGATTGCACTCTGTACATCAAAGGATGGCTTCCTTGGTGACAGGAAGGTGTCTTTTTACGATGCAAATGGACAGGTAGCCTAAAAAGTCCAGAAAAAAAATTGAGGAGAACGAAATGACTCGTTAAATGGCCTGTGTCCATCCACAGCATGTCCTGAAAAGTAAATCGGTGATGTTGCTTGTGAATGAGAATGATTCTGCCATAGGCCCCTGAGTCTGTGCTTGCTGAGTTGCAAGAAAAAAAGAAAGTGGTGTCCTGGGACCAGCCATCCTCAGACAAGGAGGCATCATGGGGTGCTTGTGCTGGCTGTTGAAGCCTTTATTGAATGTATCGTTAGAGGGACGGCTCCTGAAGAAAATGAACATCAATCTGAAGGTCCATTGTATGTCAAGATTGGAGAAATGGTTACAATAACTATGCCTGTGGACGTTTACAAATTTATGAGGCTGCTGAGGCATCCTTTTTGCATGAATTAGTTCCCACATATATTTTTGCAGGTGGAAGCTTTTCTTGATAATGATTTTTTTTGCTTTTGTTTTCCAGTTTAAGTTTGACCTGGTATTGCATGAGAAGTGTAACTCTACTCATTAACAATTCTTTCATCTTCACATTTTATGGGTACTTTTAATTTCTGCTACTTTTATACTGACTCAGTGTCAGTACGAAATTACTACAAGCGCAGCCTCATAAAGACTTTTTTTCTCAGCTCAGCAATTTGGTAGCTTTCAGGGAGCACAACCTAAGATCACATTCAAGACATTTAGTAAAAGTCTTTGTGTGCAATTCCCTGTCTGACTCACTTAAGAACAACTGCTGCTTAACTTGTTCACCATCTTGAAAAAAGAAATCTCTGAGGAGATCTGCAAGAAGGGCTTCAAGCCTTTTGGATTAACTCATTGAGCCAATCAGACCAATCTGGAGTTGAGCCATGGTGAGGGAAACAGTTCAGGAGACTTTTTGAAAATCCTTCAGTGATCTCCACGGAGTTTAGATTTGAAATATGAGGTAGTAAAGCTCGTGTATCAAGGGAAGCCGATCAGATGTGTTGAAAATTTCTGTGGAGATTGCTAGAAGTTGTACAAGAAAATAAATTCTTCAGCTTCCTAGTAAGCACTTGATGCTACAGATGAATTCATATTTCAGAAACGTGTGCATTCACATTTAAGCATTGGTAGGAAGAGAAATATTTAAGAGCATACGTAGGTCACTTCAGATGGTGGTATTGTGATATGAAAAGCAGTTTAAAAACTTGTAAAAGGCTGAATTTTTCTTTCCTTTAAAGAGTTGTTCAGGGTTGGTTTGCATAGAGTCAGTTAAAATACAAAAGACTTCACTTTGCAAAAGCATAAACCCACGTGTGGGCTTAGAATGATCTTGATTCTGTCTGAATTTGATAATGATATAATAGTAGTTTTCTCTGAATTTCACAAGGGGCTCTCATTCTTTCTCATTGGATTCAGCCGGATTTTAGGTGTGCATATTTTTGTACCTTTTTTTGCAGGGCCTTTATAAAACTCAGAAGTCCAGTCTAGATTGTTCTTATGCTTGGCTGGAGTCAGAGCTTTGTAAACATCAGTGGAGACTGGAAATTATTACAGATTTCTTATTAAAAGAACCCCTTTGAGTGATGAATTATGTATTGTATAAAGTGGAACGTACACTGGAGACTAAATTTTGTTGTGACTGAAAGGTGGCACTGGAATAAATTTGTCCCATAACACCAGAAGATGAGAGAAACTTGTATGACGGAATACGTATTTCAGAAGATAAGGAAATGAAAACAAATTAATGAACAGTAAGGAAAAGACATTTAATCAGTTGGAAGCATTTTGCATTCAGGACATACTCGTCGGTGAATAATTTCATGCACAAAGGATGTCTGTGGTCCTCGGGCCATCTGAGATGCAGTATAAAAGCTAACTCAACTCAAGGTCCTTCCACTTCTCTTACCTTTTCCCTCTTTTGTGAGCAAGGTTAGTTCAAATCTTCTCTTTTTCTGTTTGCCGAGTTCTTGCTGCCTTAACAATTTGATTGTTGTTCTGTTTTCTCTGCAGTCTTCTGCTGGTTGCTGGATTGGTTGGGGGGAAGACTTTTTCTCTTTTAAAAAGTTGGTTTTTTGCTGTTAGAATTGCAGGTGTTTCCGGAGTCTTGACTCAGCATATAGATCCTTGAAATGATGATCTAAGTTCATTGAAATGTGGGCTTTCAGACATGTGAAGTGACTTAGAAAATAATAGTAATAATAAATATTAACAAACTGAATGGGTAGAATACTTGTGCAAGGGGGTTGGAACTAGGTGATCTTTAAAAGTCACTTCCAACTCAAACCGTTCTATGATTCTACA